TAATTCAAAAATTCCAAACTCTGAAATATTCTCAAGTCCAAAACATTTTGAAGGCCCAAATTAGAAGATTTTACAGTTGACCTTATGTGACAAGTCATAGTCATAACACAAGCACACTAAAAAAATGTATAAAATTACCTTCTGGCTATGAGTACAAGATATATACATCCATATATAGATATATCCATATATTTCTATATATGGAACATAAATAAAATTTTTTAGCCTTGGGTCCCTTCCCTAAGATTTCATTATATGCACATAAATATTTCCAATATTTAAAAATCCCAAATCAGGAATACTTCTAACCCCAAGCCTTTTAGATAAACACTATTCAACCTGTGTATAAAGAATAATGTACTACAAATCAACTGGAATTTATTTTGGGAACTCAAGGGTCATTCAATATTCAAAAATTAATCAAGGACTAGAGAGATGACTCAGTGATCAAGAGCACTGGCTGCTCTTGCAGAAGACCTGGGTTCAAATCCCAGCACCCACATGGCAGCTATCAACCGTCCATAACTGCAGTTCCAGGGGATCCGACGCCATCTTCTGTCTTCTGCAGGCACTGCATGACACGGGTACACTTACATATGTGCAGGCATAACACTCATACACACAAAATAAAAATTAATTAATTTTTTAAAATCCATGAAAGTAATTCACTGAATTAGCAGTCTGAAGGAAAATCAGCTAATCAAATCGGCTAGACCACAAAGAATATTTGGCAAAAGTTAATTGTCCATACATGCTTTAAAAAAGAAGCTGGGGGGTAGTGAAGACGTGGCTCAGCATTAAGAGCACATGCTGCTCTTGCACAGAACCCAAGTTCAATTCCAAGCACCCACATCAGGTGGCCCACAACCTCCTCTAACTCCAGCTTCAGGGGCTCCAACACCTCTGGCCCCCAAGGGCACCTGTGCTCACATGTACATACTCACATACAGACACGTATACATAATTAAAAATAATAAAAATATATCTTTTAGGAAATAAACTCAGAAAACAAGAGTAGAGTTTCTTTACCTTTACAGAGCCTTTCTAAAACAAAACAAAAGCAAAAATCAGCACTAATATATTTCACAGAAAAGCCCAGTAGTTTCTTCCTGAAATTAGAAACACAGTAGATGCCTACTTTTCTCACACTTACTGAACAGTGTACTGATAATTTTAGCCAATACAATAAGACAAGAAAGCTGGGTGTGGTGATTCATGCCTTTAATCCCAGTACTAGGTAGGCAGAGGCAGGTGGACCTCTGTAGATCAAAGCCAGCCTGGTCTACATAGCAAGTTCCAGCCATCTGGGGCTATAGGGAGACCCTGACTCAAAAATAAAAAGACAAGAAAAACAAATATACAGCTTGGCAATGAAGAAATGAAACCATCCCTGCCTGCAAACAAAATAGTAGTCAACATAGCATATCCCAAGGAATCTACAAAACACTCCAAGGATCAATGAGTTTTGTAAGGTCATAAGACATCAACTAATTACCTGTATTTCTATATACTAGTGATGTATAATTGAAAACAATGAAAAATTGTTATTGTTCAAAAATAAATGAAATGCTTAGGTATATATTTAACCAAACTCATACAGAATCGGAGTGCTGAGAACTAAAAACACTACTGAAGAAACCAAAGAAAATCAGAATAAATGGACAGGCACATGATAGTTATGGATTAGAAGATTTAGCATACTGAAGATCTTGTGATCAATCTGAAATGTTAATGCAGTTCTAAAGTTAAAAATCCAAGAATGTTCTGCTTTTAGATATAGGCAAACTGATTCTAAAATTTATGTGGAAATGCAAAGAAACTATAATAGCAAACATATTTTGAAAACAAATAATGTTGTAATAAACACATGTGATTTTAGGACTTTTTCTAAAAACAGATATTGGCAGACAGTTTTGGTAAGGGACCATTTAGTAAGGTTTTTAAGTTTTACTGGTCATATGATCTGTGTTACATTTAGCTGACATTGCAGTGAGAACATGCAGCCATATACATGCAGATGTGTAAATGAATGGGTATGGGTGTGTTCCGATAAAACTTTATTTACAAAAATATATGTGACTTATATTTGTCCTATGGACTGTGGCTCACCTTCCTTCCTCTACAGCTGTACTAATAAAATTAATGGTATTAGTAAAAGATAGATCAATACATACATACATACATACATACATACATTGATGAAACAGAAATCAGGAGTATATTCATATAAATATTTTCAACTGATTTTTCAACATATTGAAACAACACAATATTGAATCTCAACCTAAACTGTACGACTAACTTATTCCACAGAATTAATGTAATCCAGCCATGGTGTTCAAGATAGGGAGAGAGAAAGGGAGAAGGGGAGTGATAGGACATGGAAGGGGAAGAGAGGCGGGAGAAAGGGAGGGGAACCCCTCAATTCTTCTCTGATCTAAATATAAAATGTAAGGGCTAGAGAAACGGCTCAGTGGTTTAGAGCACTGACTGCTCTTGCAGAGAACCCAGGTTTGGTTCCCGGCACCCACATAGCAGCTGACAACTCTCAGTATCAAGCTCCAGGGGATCCCGCACCCTCTGTTGCCCTCCACAGACTTACATGCAGGTAAAACATGCACATAAATAAATAAATAAATAAATAAATAAATAAATACCTTTTAAATTAAGTGTAAATGTATCAAATTTCCAGAAGAAAGCAGGTAATGAATTCTCAGACCAGACACTAAAACTTTTCAGAAAGCATTTCAGAAGGAGGGATAACCTGACCTCATCAACTTTGGTTCTTCGAAAATCCCTGTCAGAAGCATTAAAACACAAGCTACATGTTGGGAGCTATTTGCATATCATATATCAGTAAATGATTAGAATCCAGAATATACAAGCGACTCTGAAAGCTCAACAATTCAGAAGAAAAACACAATTAGAATGGTTAAAAGACCTGCACAGACGCTTTCCATAAGGAGACATACAAATGGCAGATAAGCATAGGGAAAAGCATTTGACACCGAACATTCTGGAGGAGTGCTCGGTATCACAGAGTTCGGCATGTCTCCTACATAATGTAAGAATGAAAACATATTCATACAAGAGCTTATACATGAATGTATATAACAGTTTTATTCATAATTTTTAAAATATGTAAGATAGCTCTCCTTCAGCAAGTGACTAGATTGGTGTGTCTATGCAATGGTATACTGCTCAGAAATAGAAAAAAATGAACTGTTGGCACACTTAACACCCTAGACAACTACCGACAGAAAGCATTTTAATGAGTCCCAAAAGATTATGCTACATGATTCCAACTACATGACATTCTTGAGCTCAAAACTATAGTGTTGTGAAGGAAAAAATTCACTGGTGGCTAGGAATTATGGTTAGAAGTGGCTATAACCTGTTACATATTGAAACTGCTCCATATGCTTATTATGGTGGTGATAATATGCAGCTGGACATTTGTTAAAGCACATACAATCATTTAAACTATGGTTATATAACAAGTGAAAGATGGTAACAGAAAATTTTATAAGACAGAATGAGCTTAGCTTTATTTTAAAAATCCATAGTAATAAATAAAGGAGAACTCTAGATACTCAGATTATATTACTATGCTCTTTCTTTTTTTGTATGTTAATGGTAGATTATTTTTAAAACTAGAAAGATAAAATTTATATAACATAAAATTTTTAATTCACCAGGTTGGTGGCACACGCCTTTAGTCCCAGCACTCAGAGGCAGAGGCAGGTGGATCTCTGTGAGTTCAAGGCCAGCCTGGTCTACATAGTGAGTTCTAGGTCAGCTGGGGCTACAGGGAGACCCTGTCTCAAAAAGACAAAAAAAAATTAATTCATTTTAATTTCCTAATACCCAAGAGTTCAGAGAATCACATTTTAAAATGTGTGTAAAATACAATTTTACAGATCACATGTGTAAAATATTGCATATTACACTTGACTTTAAAAACAGACTTGGCAAAAACCTATAATCCCAGTTACTTAGAAGGATGAGGCAAAAGGATGCAACTTCAGGATCTGTCTAGGCTACAGAGAGGATTCAGGGCCAGCCTTGGCAGCTTAGTAAGACCTTGTCTCAAAATAGAGTTAGGCATGTAGTTCAGTGGTAGAAGCCTAGAATGTGCAAGGCCCAGTAACACCCAATATAATACCCACACACACATACAGACATACACATACATATTGAATTTACATACTCCTCAAAATGTTCTTTAAGATATTTAATGTCAGGATGGCTGAGAGGTCCTCCTACCATACCAAGGAACAAAAGTGTGTTCTTTATGGAAACTGCAACATCACCGTTAAGTCAAACAGGCCAGACTTAGAAAGACAGATAGTCCAAGTTTGCTTTCATATATGGAATCTAGATCATTTTTAAAAGACAGGAAAGGGGGGATTATTTGTAAAGATGGAGGGAGCCATAAGAGGGAAGAGGAACAGGGAGGTAACAGGGAGGTTGAATATTACCAAAATATATTCTGCATATAAATCAGAGGCTAGGGCTCAGTGGTAGAGTACTTGCCCACCAAGCACAAGGCCCTGAGTTTTATCCCCAGAGCAGCAAAAACAGCTCATTACAAGTAAAATTCTTAAGCTGGTCATGGTGGACACACCTTTGATCCCAGCACTTGGAAAGCAGAGGCAGGTGGATCCCTGTGAATTCCAGGCCAGCCTGGTCTACATAGCAAGTTCCAGGCCAGCTGGGGCTAAAGAGAGACCCTATCTGAAAAAGACTTTGAAAAAATAGTTTAAAATTTTTTTAATTTCTAAAGGTGTCTTTTCTTGTTTTAATATAATGGTATTAAAATGATTATATTGTTGAAAGTTTTCAGGGAAATTTTGTAAATTTATGTTTTTAGAAACCTCAGAAGTTTGAAATACATTGACTATACTAAACATGAATATAGAGTTATTTCTGTAACATATCTAACCTTATTTTTCCTTTGTTAATCCTTTTTCCAATTAAACAAACCTCATCTACTCCAGATCAGCGGTTGAGAACAGGATGGAACAAGAAGCAAGCATCTGTGCTGGCTCCTTGGTGACTGACACCTGTGATGCAGAAGGTACTGATGTTCCAGGTCCCTACAACATTTAAGTGTAGTGGAAGCTTGATGTGGTGGTGCTGGCCTTTAATTCCAGCCCTCAGAAGGCAAAGGCAGGCTGATCGAGGCCAGCCTGGTCCACACAATAGTGACTTCCAGGCAAGCTGGGGCTAGGGAGACCCTGTCAAAAAAAAAAAAAAAGTGTAGTGGAGAACGATGCAATGATTTTAAGAGCTTTCTGTAAATTAATAATGGGAAAAGCCTGAGCATTTCTGATGAGTATAAGACTGCTCTTGGCTGTTATAATATAAAATGCCAAATTATCTAATGATAACTAACGCTAGATTTTAATAACCATACAAAGAAACACAGATACATTTGGAGAGCCTGCTAAAATGTGATTCCATTCCAATAGGCCTAGAGTGGGACCCATGATTATGCATTTCTAGCATATATGGAATCTAGATCATTTTTAAAAGACAGGAAAGGGGGATTATTTGTAAAGATGGATGGATCCATAGGAGGGAAGAGGAACAGGGAGGTAACAGGGAGGTTGAATATTACCAAAATATATTCTGCATATAAATCAGAGTCTAGGGCTCAGTGGTAGAGTACTTGCCCACGTATGCTGTGGGCCTGGCATTCACACTTGGAGTAGAGGGGCTCTGAGGATCCTGGGGAAAGTGGCATGGTTCTTGTTCTATTCAGTAGGAAAGTAAGCACTATAACAAGAGCAGCCAAGTTGACAGCTCCTACAAGTGGTACGAAAAGGGGCGTGACGTGGTAGCAGAGCCACCACTGACAACCAGGACGGCGGTGAACAGGTGGCCTTCGAGAATAAGCAGGAGCTCACCCTGCAAAATGATGACAGAAGCAATCTGAGGGATGAAAAGCCAAACTTACATGTAGATGACTGCTGGGTGACAAGAGTACTCAGCATTTCCTTGTCCTCACCACACTTTCCCATAAAGGTGACCCACTCATTTTGTCTTGGTCTTTCTGTTGCAGTAATAAAGTACCTGACCCTGGGTAACTTTTAAAGGAAAAAAAATGTATTTAAATCACATTTCAAGAAGACAGAAGTCTAAGATCTGGCAGCTTCAAGGGGGAAACATGTTTATAACAGTCTACTCTTTTTTAAAAATAATAATCTTTTTAAAAATACTTTATTATTTTTATTTTATATCTATGCGTGTATTGCCTGCATGTGTGTAAGTGTACCTGTGCCATGCAATACCCATGGAGGACAAAAGAGGGCATCAGATCCTCTGGAGCTGGAGTTGTGGACAGTTGTTAGCTGCCATGTGGGTACTGGGATTTGAACCCAGGTATTCTGCAAGAATAACTAGTGTTCTTAACCACTGAGCCATCTCTCCAGTCCCATAACAGTTTACTCTTATAACCAATCATTCCCTCAAAAACCATGAATCCCTATTAATGGCCTAATTACATCCTAAATTTGCCATTAATTGCCACTTCCCATCCCTGTTACACTGAATAACAAATTTCAACATGAATTCAAATCATAGTAACTTGTCTTTGAGACTTTGGAATATTATATATAATGCTAAAGTGTTACAGAAATTATAAACTACATCAACAAAACATCCTAAGCTATAGACCCCAAAAGGCAAGTAATCTGGAGTTTATGACAAACAAGCAGCATGTATATTTATAGAAATACAATCATCCTCAAGCATTGCTGGTGTTCAGACTACAAAAGAACTGAATAAGGTGCTGTTTATAAACTTCAGTAAATGTATAATCTCCTCAGGAAGGGCACCTTAATAAAGGAAGTGAATGTTGGTATAGACCTACTACCAAATGAATAGTACAGATGCGCCTGAGTCCTTCGAGAGAGATGGAACTGGCATTTCTAAAGATCAACAATTATACTCAATTCAGTGTCTCCAGGATGAGAATATTTAAATTAATTCTCACCTAATATCTGTTAATCATGAGAAGTTAGACAGTGCTGACAAGACTTTTCTCATAGCTTATAAATGTAAGTGATGCTCCTTTTTAAAGCACTGCCTTAATGCAGTAGGGTCGGTAGTACAGGCAGATAACTCACTAACCAGTTGCAGCTTTCTTTCTCATTGAGGAAAAAGAAGCAACCTCTCTGCCCAGCTTTGCAGGCAACCATCACTACCAAGCCAGAGCTACTGGAGTTCAAGTGAGACTTGCTTGCATGCTACAAAGATAACACTGCCAGAGAAGAAAAGCATGACATTATCCACATACTTCAATGTAGATATTGGCCTTAATGTGTGTATGAGAGTCATCACAGTCCAGAGAGCTGAGCATGACCCCATGGAACCATTCCCTAACAATCAGCTCCTTCATACCACTTAAAGTCTGATTATAACTGTCTATAAAGCTTTTAATACTTTCATTTATTTATGATTAAGTATTACTCTTTTAGTGGAAAAAATGTATTAATCTTCATTAAGGTCCTTTATTAGATCTTAAGACCACTCATGTTGGGATCTTTTATTTTAGGAGAACTGAAAGAAGACTGCAGAGGACAGGTAAAACATTTTCTCTATTATGTGACATTCATATTCTATCAGGAAAACGTGTCTTAACTCAGGAAATGCTGTCTATTGGTGTACATTAACTAGAGTATACTAATAGCTTTTAGGTAACTATTAAGGTTTTTTATTTTAATAAAACTCTATCAAAAAGCCATTGGGAGTTGCAAATGGATGGAGTTGGGTGCTGAATATAGAACTAGCAATCCATGTTCACCATGTAATATTAAAAGAAATGCATGTAAAATATCACCTCTGACAAGTGGTCCTAGACTCCTCTCCATCCTGTCTCTGACATCACATCTAAATCATTTTGAGAGGAAATATTAGTGCCATTGCACAAATTTCAAAAAAGTTTAGTGTAAGAAAAATTCGCATGCTCTTATGAACAGCCCACAAAAGGTTATCATGTATTGATTCATTGTAAGACTTAATTATGAATGATGGTTGCACAATTACTAGCATAATTTTACACAAATCATTTCCCCTCTTTAAGCCTGAAGTTCTTCATTTGTAAAATAGATACAATTCCACATGCCCCATAGGATTTTTATGAAACTCTTTTGATAGGGACTGTGCTGAATCTGTAGATTGCTTTTGGTAGGATGACCATTTTCATATTATTAATCCTACCAGTCTGAGAACATGGAATTTTTAATCTTATATTTCTTTTCTCATGTCTTAAAGTTTTCATTGTACAAGTCTTTCACTTCCATGGTTAGATTTATTCCAGGATTTCTTTTGAGCCTATAGTGAATGGGATTGTTTTCATTACTTCTTTCTTGGTATGTTTGTCCTTGGTATATAGGAAAGCTGTTCATTTTTGTGTGCTAATTTTGTACCCTGATACCTTGCTGAATGTGTCTGTCAGCTCTAGGAGTTTTCTGGTGGAGTCGGTCCTTAGAGTCTTTTATGTACACACTTATATGATCTGCAAATAAGGATACTTTGATTTATTCTTTTCCTATTTGCATATTTTACTTCCTTCACTTGTCTTTTTAAAACTTTTAAAATTAATTTATTTTTATCTCTATGAGTGTTTTGTCTGCATGTATGGGGGTGCACCACACGCATGCAGTGCCTGTAGAGACCAGAGAAGATGTTGGATCCCCTGGCCCATGTGGGTCCTGGGAATAAAATCTGGGTCTTGTGCAAGAGCAGTCAGTGCTCTTACCTCTGAGCCATCTCTCCAGCTCCTCTTTCACCTGTCTTATTGTCCTAGCTAAAACTTTAAGCATATATTGAACAGGAGTGGAGAGAATGGGCATCCTTTTCTTGTTCCTGATTTTAGTGGAAATCCCAATGCAATTCTTCACAGAAATTGATAAATAATTTTAAATGTCATATGGAAACACAAAAGGCTTAGGGTTTCCCAAACAATCGTGAACAATAAAAACACAGTTGGAAGTATCACCATCCCTGATTTCAAGTTACACTACAGAGCTATAGTAGTAAAAACAGCCTGGTACCAGCATAAAAGCAGACACCCTGATATAGATGCGAGAACTGAGAACCCACATACAAGCCCACACACTTCTACAGCCACTTAATTTTTGACAAGGCCAATAATACACATTGGAGAAAAGACAGCATATTCAACAAATGTGCTGGTCAAACTGGAGAGCTACATGTAGAAGAATAAAACTAGGTCCTATCTCTCACCCTGAGCAAAACTCAACTCCAAATGGACCAAGGACCTCACCATAAGACCTGATGTCGTGAATCTGACAGAGAAGAAAGTAGGGAATACACTGGAATTTATAGGCACAGGAAAGGATTTTCTGAACAGGACCCTGGCAGTGCAGGCATTAATGGGACCCCATGAAACTAAAAAGATGAGGTACAGAATGCAAAAAAAAAAAAAAAATCTTTACATTTGACAGAGGGTTAGTATCTAGAATATACAAAGAACTAAAAAAGCTAAACATCAAAAAACAAACAACCCAATTAAAAATCAGGGCAAAGAGCTAAACAGAAAGTTCTCAGAAGATGAAATGTAAATAGCTGAGAAATATTTTAGTTGAAATTCTTTTTAAGTTTTTCTCTATTTAACATCATGTTGGCTGAGAACTTGTTGTATATTGCCTTTATTATGTTGAAATATGTTCCGTATACCCCTACTGTCCCAAGGCCTTTTATCATGAAAGGATGTTGGATTTTTTTGTCAAAGGCCTTTTCTGCATCTAATGAAATGAGCATGTGGTTTCTTTCCTTGGGTTGCTTATGTGGTGGATTATGTTTATTGACTTACATATATTGAAACATTCCTACATTTCCGGGATGAAACTGAATCGATTATGGTAGACAGTCTTTTTGATGTGTTCTTGAATTCAGTTTCCAAGTATTTCATTGAGAATTCTTGTATCAGTGTTTATCAGAGAGATTGGCCTATAACTTTCTTGTTGTTGTTGGCCTTTACCTGGTTCTGGTATAGGATAATACTGGATTTATAAAGAGAATTTGGAAGTGTTTCTTCCTTTTCTGTTTTATGAAATAATTTGAGGAGTAGTGGTGTTAGATTTTTGTAGCTATGGTATGATTCTGCACTGAATTCATCTGGCCCTGGGCTTTTTTTAGTTGGGAGATTTTTAATTGTTGCCTCTATCTCATTTGTTGTTTTTTACTTCATCTTGCTTTAACTTTGGTAGGTCAGATACATCTAGAAATCTATTTACTTTAGATTTCCCAGTTTAGTGAAATATAGGTTTTTAAAGTATGTCTTTATGATTCTCTGAATTTCCTCAGTGTCTGTTGTAAATGTCTCCCATTTCATCTCTAATTTTTATTAAATTGTGTCTTCTCTCTTTCCTTTGGTTAACTTGGCTAAAGGCTTTGTCAGTCTTGTTAATCTTTATGAACAACCAACTTTTTGTTTCATTAATTCTTTGTATTTTTTGTGTTTGTTTCTATTTTATTAATTTCAGGCCCTAATTTTTATCATCCTTTCCTGTTTACTGTTTTGGGGGGTGGTGCATAGAACTGAAGGTTTTTAGGCACTGAGATGCATCCCTACGTGGGAGTGGTACAAAGATGTGCAGTCCTCAGGCAGCAGGGGTGGGGTCACCTATTGAGTTAATTGTTAAATATTCAAATAACAAAGTGGTCTGAAGAAACAGTTTCTCCCATAAATTCAAGAATGGAGGCTGTAGAACACTTGTTATTAACAAAACTAAAAGAAACTAAACATGATTTCAACTAGGGTTTTGAAAAAGACAAATCTTATTGGCATAGATGTTTCTAAATAAACTTAAGGAATTAAATGATAATTCAGTGAAGGCACTTCTGTAATGGTGAAATGACATATTCTAAGTACATTCCATTTGGTCAGTTTATTAACAGAATTTAGTAAGCCAAATAATTTATCTACTAACCTGTGTTTCATGAGTACCAAAAGCCTCAAACCAGATTTTGGCAAGTGATAGACTAGTCATCTCAGACTATACTTTGTAGGAAATACCAAACATCAAAATTCTACAATGTTTACTAAAAAGAAATCTGTAGAGCTGGGGATGCAGCTTAGCGCTGCAGTACTCTCCTAGTGTGTATGAGTATGAGGCCTTACATTCAACCCCCATAGCACACACGCACAAACACACACACACACAAACCAGACATGGCGGTGCGTGCCTCTAATCCTTAGACTTGGGAAATAGAGGCAAGAGGATCAAGATGCCTTGGCTATTTTGTGAGTTTGAGGCCAGTCTGGGCTATGTCAGATCTTGTCTCAAAAATAATAAATAAATAAACAAATAAATAAATAAATAAATAAATGGAAACCTCTACATTATACTAGTATTAAATCACAGAAATAAGCAGTCATAGTGATTTATCATTAATCACAATGTGAAGCATGTCATTTGTTGTATGTTTATAAAAACAAAGTGGAAAAAGAACTTCACAAAGAAGTAAGACATTAATTATTATCCAAATTAAGTACAGGACTTTCAACAAAACACTTTGCCTGTGTGAGAAAAGATTTGCTCATCTATAAAATCAAAGAGTTTCAAGTTAGAGAGTTTTAACGTTTCTTCTAGCTCTAAAACGGGCGCACTCATATGCAGGCAATACATGCACACACGTAAAATTAAAATAAAATATTTTAAAAATTCACGTTCTGGAAATTAATTATTACTAAATCAGAAACTTGATGAAACGCCATTAGTAACACAGAAGAAATCTAATGCAAAATCATGACAAGATCTTTCATAGGAAAAATCAACAGGTCAAAATCCAGTTTGTAGCAAAGCGACCCTTAACCTGCTGGTTGAATTTGCTCAGGAAGTTCTGGGTAGACCGTGAAGAAAGTGCCCTGGTGTCACCCAACATTAGGTACCAGCAATAGGGTGTGGTAATTCACTCAGCCATATGTAGAAATCAAATGAAGAACTGGCAAAAGCCTTTTGTTGCTGTAAATTACTACAGGAATTAGCATGACCTTCAGTCAAGGCTAAGCACAGTTTCAGCACACAATAAAATCTACATCAGTCTTCCTAGGATTGGCAACTTTCTGTTATCAAAGAAAATCACTTCCTCCCAAACTGGTAAAGAAGCAAAGCAAAACTGATACAGTGTTCATCAAGGGCTAAGCTTTCATCAGCCTTAATCTCATAATTCCATTTCTATAGGAAATATTTCTACAAGAAATAATCCTAAATACAGGGAAAATATTCATGCCTAAGAATGTTCATCACAGGGTTATTTATAAAAATAAATTAGAAGCAATGAAAGTTGAATTTTTAAAAAGGAATGGTTAAGTAAAGCTGTGATAATTTTTAATATTTTATTTATTTTTATTTTATGTGTATGAGTGTACTGCTTACATGTATGTGAGTGCACTTGTATCGTGCAGTGCCTTCAGCGGTCAGAAGAAGGCATTGGATCCCTGGAACGGTAGTTAGTGGGCAGTTCTTAGATGCAATTGTGGGTACTGGGAATTGAACGTGGATCCTCTGAGAGAACAGTCAGTGCTCTTAACCACTGAGCAATCTCTGCAGCCCTGTAAAGCTGTAATAGTTAATGGAATAAAACTTGGACATTAAAATCAAAGACTATGTAGGAGCATCAGAAGTGTTCAGATACCAGCTAAGGACATAGTTTAGTGGTAGAGTGCTTTTCTCGCAGGCACAAGGCCCTGAATTTTATCTCCAACACTGCCAAAAGAAGGGCTCAAATAGAGGCCATTGATGTATAATTATCTGCACATTTCATCTGCGGTTAAAATTATTTCGATTTATTTGCAATTGTTTTAATCATTTGTTAAAACATATATGGAAAGAATACTGGAGACAAATGCATGTTACCCAGTGTTACCGTGAGTCCATTTTCATATATCTCCATTTTCCAATTTTATTTACTGAATATTCTTTACTTTTATTATGTTAAATAATCAAATATAATCTTCAGAACATCTGCCTAAGGTAAATAGGGTGCCATTTAAGAAGTTCTAAAGTAAAGTTTTTAAAAACAAGATGGATTTAAAGCAAAAACTTCAAGGAAGAGTTTTGGTTTGGGTTTTTTGGGGTATTTTTGTTTTGTTTTTTGTTTTTGAGACAGATTCTCCCAGGAACTCACTACATAGACTATACTGGCCTAGATCGCACAGAGATATTCCTGCCTCTGCTGCCTGAGTGCTGGGATTAAAGGTGTGCACCACCTCACCTGGCTTAGGTTTTCGATTTTTCAGAATATGTTGGGATCACTGAAAAGAAGGGGGTGGGGTGCAGGGGATCTCAGAGAGAGAGGGAAGGAGGGAATAAAGGAGAAAAGAAAGGGGGCTGCAGAGACGGCTCGGCGGTTAGGAACACTGGTTGTTCTTGCAGAAGACCCGGGTTTGAATCCCAGCACCCACATGGCAGCTAACAACTGCCTGTAACTCCAGTTCCAGGGGATCCGACAGCCTCTTCTGACCTCCACAGGCATTGCATGACATGGGTGCACTTACCTACATGCAGGCAATACATACATACACATAAAATACAAATAATAAATAAAGTATTAAAAAAAAAAAAGAAGAAAGTGGGAAAGGGAGGGGAGAAAGAGAGTAGCTGAGCACCTGACATTGTTAGGTCAACAGCCTGGCTCCAGCAACCAAGAATATCCAGATGTTAGGGAAATAAAGTCACCGACCCAGGGTCTCTGCTGCTGTTAGTAAACAAGACCAAAACCTAACTCCAGATCTCCGAGGACCATTCCAGTGGTGTAAGACTCTGGTGCGGTGTTTGACAAGCCAGGAGTCAGAGTTTGTTTGGAAGTGATAGTGCTTATAATGTTTTGTTTTTAAACTGAATGTTACCTAAGCCGAGCGGCTTGTTAGTGCACACAGGCTGGGCTGTGCTGAACTGCAGTGTTAAATTATTCATCCTCTTGTTACCTGTTTTTCCAGGTTTTTGTTTTGTTTTGTTTTGTTTTTTAAACTTTATTTTTTTAATTTTATTATTTTTATTTTATGTGTATGCGTGTATTGCCTGCATGTAGATAAGTGCACCCATGTCATGCAATGCCCACAGAGGTCAGAAGAGGCTATCGGATCCCCTGGGACTGGAGTTATGGACAGTTGTTAGCTGCCATGTGGGTGCTGGGATTTGAACCCAGGTCTTCTGCAAGAACAACCAGTGTTCCTAACCGCTGAGCCATCTCTCCAGCCCCTTGTTTTGTATTTTAACTTTATGTATTTTAACATCCTCGGGCACATGCATACATATATACATACAAACATACATACAGACATACAAACTGAACATACACACATACATACACATACAAGCATGTTATTCTTACTTCTAGCTGCAGACCTGTTTTCTTTGAGATATGATTATCTCCAAGAGTATACATGCAAACTTTATGAAAGCTTCCCTTAGTAAAAAGACCTTTCATGATATAACTTAATCTCTCTCTCTTTCTCTCTCTCATTCATTCTACAACTAAGCTATACCCCAACCCCTAAATTACTTTTAAATATCCATACCTTAGAAGTTACCTCAGAATACATTATTTTCACCTATACGTTAAGAAAAATGTCTCTAGCTCTGAGATGAGATTGGAGTTCTGCTCTCCCTCCACTCGCTACCATCACCTTACCATTCCAACACCTGGTAGCCCACCTGTGGTCGCTGTTTTTCAAATACAATTGCTCATCTGTATCTTACCTTCAAGCATCCTTTAACTTCAAAATCTCATCCTAAAACCTTGTTGCTCTGTATCTAATACAGTTGGATGGTGGCAGGAGATGGTGTAAAACAGGAAAAGAAAACAAATGAAAGAAAGATGAAGGTCTCACACGTAATAAAAAGCCATATAATCTTCTATTTCATGGTCTGTTACCTCAAGAGTTACAATTAAATAAAAATAATTATAATCGAAGCAAGTTCAAAAACCTTGTTAGGGCGGCTGAAGAGATGGCTCAGCGGTTTAGAGCACTGGCTTCTCTGGCAGAGGACCCGAGTTTGACTCCCAGCACCCACATGGCATCTAAAAACTATCCTTAACTCCAATTCCAGGTGATCCGACCTGCCTCTACAGGACACACACACACACACACACACACACACACACACACGTACTTATAAACATGCAGACAGAACACTCATACATATAGTATAAAATAAAAATAAATTTTTAAATGTGTTAGGGTTTGTCAGGTGGCTTAGTGGATAAAGTGCTTGCCTGGAAAACATGAGGACTTGAGTTCAGATCCCCAAACACTGTAAAAATCAGGCAGCCATAGTGGCCACATGTAATCTTAAGACTCGGGAAGCAGAGGCAGGGATCCCAGAGCAAGCTGCCTAGATAACTGGTGAGGTCCGAGGTCAGTGAGAGACCCTGCCTCAAGAAATAAAAGTGGAGAGCAATTGAGGAAGACACCTGCTGTTAACTTCCAACCTCCAAATGCACACACATGTGCATGCACATGTATGCACAACTACATACATATGAGCCCATACACACAGGAACATGCATGCATGCATACCACACACACAGAGACACACCAAAAAAAAAAAGAACCACATGATTCTACCTAAAGGGTTCTGTAACATGTACTTCTTTGCCTTTTTATGTTTCACATGTTATTTCTGGAATAATTTTTTAAAATATCTATCAATTTTTAAATAACTAAATAAGGAAAATACGCAGTTCTATTGTTCACACAGGCTAGGCACAGTACATTTTTTCTTTCATTTTACTATTTTAAATGCTTATAAATAATAAAGATCTGTCATTGGTATTTTATCCTGTTTAACATATTTAATTATTTTTATCTGTTACTTGCAGGACACTGGAGATGGTGGCTCTCTCAGAATGGTTCACTTTGGTTTGGTGTAAATAATTAGAAACCTCAGAAAGAAACCTGCCTTTTGCACATGGCCTGATTCCTTAAAAGTCTTCACGTATGGACTTTAATAGATGGAAGGTATATATAGCACAGCATAACAATAAAAAAGTCATCCTAAATAGAAATCCTTAACCTACTTATGTTCAACAATGTATGCATTTTTTATTTATTATTTTTATGTGTATGTGTGTATTGCCTGCATGTAGGTAAGTGCACCCATGAATGCAATGCCTGTGGAGGCCAGAAGAGGGCATCAGATCCCCTGGAACTAGAGTTACAGACCGTTCTTAGCTGCCATATGGGTGTGGGGAACTGAGCCCGGGTCCTCTGCAAGAGCAGCCAGCACTCTTAACCACTGAGCTATCTTTCCAGCCCCCAGTGTATACATTTTTTAAATGTCTGAAATTATACATCATTTGGTGTTGCAGAAGTAGAACATTTAAATTTTGTTCTTCTGAGTCTTTTTAAATTTTCCTCCTCTTATTTACATTATTAATTCACATTACAAATAAAGTATTTCTTAAGCAAAAGTTTCAATCCAGAGCTATTATAAATAGATGGTTTTCCACCTCAGAGTATTGCAATGAGGAACTGACTGCCCCTTGCAACACAGAGATAGTGTCTCCCTATGGAGCTTACTGCCTGTTACATTTGAGCTCCATGAGCTTGGGCCTCCTCTCTGTTACATCTCAAAGACTGTGTGGCTATCACTGGCCCTTTCCATGGTGCTGCATGAAAATGTGGTTCAGGAAACATGAAAGAAATGCTGACACTTTGTCCACTGTGACTGTAACAAACTGCCCTTCATCTCTGACCCTAAAAGCCGCTACCAGTATCCATGAAACTACCATTCTAAAATGTGTTAGCCTGAAAGCAGGGCAAAATCTGACTCTTCCTCATTCTTGACACCCATTCATTAGCAGATAATCTTTATAATTGTAGATGTCTGTAATAACATCTTCTCGATAAAGTACACAAATTAAATTAAAATGTAAAGCTGAATCTTGTGTTTTGCTCATCTTTGCCTCCACCAGAAGATGACAGAAACAAGATAAGAGTCAAATTTTCAGTTTGTTTACTGGGCTGAGAAAGTTTTGGTAATTTATAATACATGAGCCACACTAAAGACGGGTTGAGTTACAATCTCACTATTCCTATCCATTTTCTCACAGATAATCAAAAGTTAGCTAATTTTTAAAGAAAAGGAATTGTATTATAAGATACAATTTTGTCAAAATGCCATCATTTCCTCTAGCTATTCTAGTAAAGTCATTCATACACATTTAGGCCATGTTTCCTGAGCTACTACTATACCCTTTGGTTTACTTGGCCACTATCTCCTGCAGCCTTGTGAGAGGCTGGCAGGAAGTTCAGTCCTGCTTTTAGATTCTATGTCAGGAGGTTCACACACTGTGCTAAAATGTAAACATTTAAATGAGACATTAAGAATGGTTATGGGTACATGTCTGCTTTTACAATCATGATAACTATTAACAATGACAAATTTTACCAATCACCTAAGTGAAAACTAAACACAACCAAATTCCCATGAGTTAAGATGCAGTGCCTTATTACTAGACTCTCTGCCAGGCTGAGGGTAGTGGTCTGACTGCATTTTGAGTAGCAGTGTCTACAGCTAAGCAGCCAGCACGGAGGCATATGACCAATCTCAGGCAACTTTAGCTTTGCACAACTGTATAAGCCAAGAGGACGAACTAATGATAATCTGGTTGCAAAGAGCAATTCTTGTGTATCATCCAAAGGGAACAAAAACCTGATTATGTAAAGAAACCAAGATTTAATATAAAGTCAGCAATCTTTTCCAGTAAACTCAATTCAACACTTAAACCTTTGGCCTATGTTTTTATAAGAAAAGAAAGCAAATGGAAGTCTCCTCCCGAGTGTCTCATTTTTACCTACTCTAAAATTCTCATATCTGAAATAATTTCACAATAATTTCCATTTGTTAAGTAGTGCCCTATTAGTAGAATAAACTGTATTTGATATACCAAATTTCTAATATTTTCGTTTATTAAAAGGACAAATAACCAAAATGATATACTTTCTTTTACTGAGTTTTTAAATGTTAGTAAAGGAGTCAAAATTATACCAGTCTGGCATATTGACTAAGGGCACTTGAAAAACAGGAACTACAAAATGATCAGTATGGTTTTCATGATACATCTTTTTTTTTTTTTTTTTTTTTTTTTGGTCTTTTTGAACTCACAGAGATGTGCCTGCCTCTGCCTCCCAAGTGCTGGGATTAAAGGCATGCACCACCATGGCCGGCCCTTGATACATCTTTTTTTTTTTTTAAAGCTTCTTTTTTACTTTTATTATTTTTATTCTATGTGTATGCATGTCTTGCCTGCATGTAGGTAAGTGCACCCATGCCATGCAATGCCCGCAGTGGTCAGAAGAGGCTGTCGGATTCCCTGGGACTAGAGTTATGGACAGTTATTAGCTGCCATGTGGGTGCTGGGATTCGAACCCAGGTCTTCAAGAACAGCCAGTGTTCTTAACAGCTGAGCCATCTCTCCAGCCCCTCATGATACATCTTTAAAACAAGAGATAAAATTCTCGTGTAAAAGATGCAAAGTATTATCATCAAGGACATCTGTACAGACAAACCTAGTTATGTTAACCCTTATTGTATTAGTTAGTCTCTTGTGGTGACCAAAATACCTGAAACAGTTTGAGGGGAGATTTGAGAGCAGATGAAGGAGGACAGGGGCCCTCACTGACTTTTCTTTTTACTGCCTCTAACTCTGTCCAGGACCCCAGCCCATAGGTTAATGTCACGCATGTTCAGAATGCGTCTTTGCCCCTCAGCTTATCCTACCTCACAGTTGTACCTCACCAATGTCATACCTACCATCTTCTCGTTAACTCAGCTCACTACCCCACGCTGAGACCTATTGCCTATCACATTTCCTCAACTTAATGATGGCCAATTCAATATCAAAGCAACTAACTAACTGATTTTCTTTATGAGGGTACCCGTGTAACGGGAAACTTGGATTAAATAAATTTAATACTTCTGTTGGCGCACTTACATCAGCTTAATTTGTGGATCTAGCCAGAACCCTAAGAGGATTGAGGGATTTGCCATTCCTACATTAGTAAGGCTAAATAAGACAACTTGAAACTGAGATTTTACTCCACACTAAAATTTTCATAGATATGTATGTAAAAACAAATGTATAAGCCAATGTAAAGGACAACCAGGAAATAGACTGTCATAAATAAATACAAATGAAATGATTTCCAACAAAGTGCCAAGACCATTGAATGCAGAAAGGACAGTCTTTTCAACAAATGGGATGTGTATAAGCAGAAGAATGAAGCTGGACTGACTCAAATCAATCATGGACCCAAATATAGGACCTAAAATTGTATATTAAAAATGTCTTAGAAGAAAGCATCAGAGCAATGTCATTTAAATTGCAATTGGGAAGGATCTTTGTATATGACATAATGCAGGCAACAGAACTAAAAGTAGATATAAGACTCACATTAAAAACTGCATACAGGTCACTATCACTGGAGTGAAAATACAACCCACAGACTAGGGGCAAATGTTTGAAGATCATATCTGATATGAGGATAATATCCAGAGTACATAAAGAACCCTAAATTCAACTTAAGAAATACACACCAAGTGTGGTGCTGTATGCTTTTAATCTCAGTACTTGGGAGGCTGAGGCAGGTAGATCTCAGTGAGTTAGAGGCCAGACTGGTCTACATAGTGAGTTCCAGGCCAACCAGGACTACATGTCCCCCAAAAAAAGAAAGAAAAAACACTTAGGTACAAAAAACACAGGTAAACAATTAAAAATGAGCAAAGAACTTGGATAGACATTTTCCCTAAGACGGTATATAAATGGTCAACAGACACATGAAATGACACGCAACATCATTAATCTTTAGAGAAATGACAAAAACACAGTAACACCACTATAGGTGTTCATCGCAACAACTATTACTTTTTTATGAGTAGCATATAAATACTAGTTTCTATTATGGTATTTTTCTAACAAAATTTTTGTTGTTTCTCTGTCACCGTTCTCCCTCACTCTTCTGCTCTCCCAGCACCTTGGCCCTTTTGTGTCACGTGTTATCCTTTTCTTACCCACTTCCTGAACAGCTCTTGTTCCCCTCCCATGGCCTCCTGTCTAGTTTCAAGTACTCTCATACCCTCTTGGTTACATACATATAAATGAGATGGACAAGCATGGAATTCCACTTGGTTTGGGATACACACCCCACATCCAACAATGCAGTCTATGACATTTAGCTTAGCGTAATGTACACAGCATACCCCTCTCACCTGCATTGAGCTCCCTGTACACCCTACTCAGAACAATGGAATAAGTCCCTCCACCCCTGGCATATCAGTGACTCCTCTTACACAGACAGCATCTATTGAAATACATTCCCAGAAGTACCTGAGTATGAGAATGAGGAGCCAGTCTGGCCCGACTGGTTTTGAGAGTATGAGTAATAGGGTAAACTGTATCCTCTGAGTTAATTTTTAGGGAAAACGTCCCTAGCCACCATTTTATGCCTATACATAATTAGACATGCATGTAATTAAAATCAGATACATCATGGGAAAGACATGTACAGTAGAAATAGGCTTATATAAACTCAAACCTGTCAAACAGAAAACCACCCAAATTATGCCTCTTAACAACCAGCCCCTCCTTCCCCTAAGACCACATAAAAGAAGTCCGCATAGTAACCTTGGCACAGGGGTGCCCCCTCACTCAGGTGGCCTGCTGCCTCTCTTGGAAGTATATACAAATGTACACTTTTGCTCTTCTTAATAAAACTTGTACACTTTACTTCTGTGTGTGCATCTTTTCCAAATCCTTGAATAAGACACTAAGAACCTAGAAACACCCAGTCCAGACAGCAACCCCCAACCCCCAGTAACACAAACATTAAAAGAAGCCACTTATTGCCAGGCGTGGTGGTGCACGCCTTTAATCCCAGCACTCGGGAGGCAGAGGCAAGAGGATCTCTGTGAGTTCAAGGCCAGCCTGGTCTTCATAGTGAGTTCCAGGACAGCTGGGGCTACAGGGAGACCCTGTCTCAAAAAGACCAAGAAAGAAAAAGCCACTTATAGGGCTGGGGGATATGGCTCAGCAGTTAAGAGCACTGACTGCTCTTGCAGAGGACCCAGGTTCAATTCCAAACACCCACGTGGTGGCTAACAACCATCTGTTACTCTAGTTCCAAGG